TTCGGCAGGACAAAGCTTTGCAAACTGGCTCTTTTTTTTTTTTTTTGTCAACTTTAATATAATTTAGCCGCATTAAAACCAAAGAACCATCCCTGAAATGCTGCAGCAGCAGAAACCCTCATGAAATCCATTTCACAAAACTGCAGCCACGCTGGAAACTCTTCAGAGACTCTTTGCACGTGGATGGTGTTTAATAATTTATTCAGCACAGGTTATTATAAAGATATTCCACTCATATCTTCTTTCTCACGCTCAAGTCAGGCGTATTATTGCAGATTCATCTGCGTAGCAATTACATCTTGTTTTGGGATAGTTCTGGGCATAACGGCCAAACTATTGGTTGACTCTGGCACGTGTTAAGCTCAGATCCGACTGAAGTATTTAGCTCATTTGTTTTTGGGAATAACAGGCTCATATCAAGAGGCAGGGCTGCTGGAGTCACTCCAAGGTATGGTATGATTTTGTTCCTCCATGTCTCGCTTTAGCATCTCCTTTTGCTGTAATATTAGTTCTCATTTCCATCTATGATTGCGTTTTGCATGCAGAATGAGTGAAGCTGTGGTTAGTGGGGTGAGGAGGTTGAGCACCATCTCGGAGCAGGACGGGGACGCTGAAGCGGAGCCCGTGTCCCTCGTGTCCTCAGGGGACAGTGAGTGGGCAGGATCCAGTGCTTCGCTCTGCTCGCGTGGAAAGCCCAGCGCCCAGAGCAGCTCCTTCACCTCCTTTGAGTCCTATCAGCCTGACGCAGCAGGTACAACTTCAGTACTTCTCTGTTTGGATGTTTCTGCTGTGTCCAGTATGTAGAAGTTGTCCTGGCTGCTGAAGGGACAGTGGCCTTAAACCTGTTTAATGTGTGCGTAAAACAATTGCGGTTTAATTGTGAATATGACTAAATCAATTAAACACTCATGGAGTATCCATCTGAAGATAAACGGATACGAATAATTTAATAACATTTATAATAATTAAGGATTTGTAATATTCAATAATAATTACATAATTTAATAAAACTGATAAATAAGATGAACTGATAATATAGAAATGATTACGAATATATATATATTTTTTTACAGATGGGCACCACATATAATAGCTTTAAATTATTATTCAATTATTATTTCAATTATTCTATTATTAGCACAAATAGACCAATTAGATGTATGTATATGTAATGCATAAAATTGTATCTGCACACTACTGTTCAATAGCCAAACAACCAATCATCAATGTTGTTGTTGTTTTTTTGTCTGTCTTTTGAAGAAATTATTAATTTTATTCAGCAAGGACACATTAAATTGATCCAAAGTGACAATAAAGACAATTATGTTGTTATAAAAGATAACAAGAAATAATAATAATACATTTTTGAGCATATGACACTGAAGACTGAAATAATGATGCTGAAAATTCAGCTTTGCCATAACACAATTAAATTACATTTTAAAATATATTAAAATAGAAAACAGTTATTTTAAATTGTAATCATATTTCACAGTTGTTTTTTTTTTTTTTTTTTTTTAAGTCAGTTCTATATTATTTAGGTTTGAAAATTACTAGTACAACCAATTTGATTATAAAAAAATTTAAAGCAGCAACTAAACATTAAGCTGAAATATGTGGAATTGTTTACCGTGTTATTATAAAGCATGTTATACATTGGTCTGTTTTGAGTTTGTTTCAGAAACATTATTCTGCAGAAACTACAAAGCTAAAATTGCTTTTGGTTGCTGTTTAAAGTCCTTTACTGTTAAATTCTGTTGTTTCAACACCCGCTGAAGTACCGGTCACTCACTCTTGTCCCGGACACACTTGTAAACATGTTAATTGGAGGCGCTTGCAGCTCCCCTGCAGAGTGAAGTGCACTTTTATGAGCACTTACACCAACACTCAGATGCTAAAAGACTCCAGGAGTGACAGAGCTCATAAAAGCCTTATGTAAGATAGATGACCATAAACCTGTACTTTGAGATATATTGAAATATAATTCTCTTGACTATTGTGTGCTCATCCTTTATAGTGAAACTATATTTGGGCCGCTCTGTTTCTCTAGCTGTTAGGTTAGTTCACCAGGGGATTGTATACTGTTACATTAATGGCTTCAGATGACCACTTATTTCTCCCAGCTGTGCATTATGTGCTCCATTTCTGCTCCAACAACCCTTAATATAATTACACACCTATAGAGAGTTCCTAGGCGTCACATGTGGCATTAGTCTGATTCTGTGCAAAGTGGCCTCACATGTGCCATAATCATAATTTTGAGGAATCATGTGTTGATGAAAGAATGTAACATATGGATTGTTCATTTCTCATTTCAGCCATCCATCTCTCATCCTGTCTATAATGGCTGATTGCTGCCATTTTCAGTGTAATTAGAGCCGTTTATGGCAGGCTGCACTTAACTTGGTGCACGGATGTCTGCAAAAATAAATAATGTATGCAAGAAGAAGTGTTGAGGTAATGATGACCGAGTGATGTACACTGAACTTAACAACCACCAGCACTTCCGTTGCACACTGAAAGTAAATATGCAAGGGAATATTTATTAAAGCTAGGTGACAACCAGAATATGACCTTTCACAAATATTCATGCAGCTATCATTAAAAAAAAAAGTTTGTACTATGGTATCACCATGCATTTTGGACATGATAGTATGACTGTACCATGCTATATTAGTGTTTGCGAAAGCACTATTGCATTATTATTGCCACCCAGGGATGGTTCTAGACCTATTTAGCGAGCTTCAGACCAGGCCCACAAAAACAAATCTATACAATTACTTGAAAAATAAATAAAAAGTATAAATAATAAAAAAGCAATTATTATTATTATTTTCTAGTAGTAGTAGTTGTAGTAGTAGTATAAATGAATGAATTAATTAATGAAAGGCATACATTAATGAATGAATCAAATAAATAATCCAGAGTGAAAATGTGCGCAATTTAATAATAATAATAATAGTAGTATGAGCAGTATTCCCTTGCATATTTAGTAAATATTCCCTTGCAGGAGAAGCGATTAGTCAGCAGAGAAGGCGGTAGCGTGTGTTTGCTTAATACTTAGTTTCTATTTCTGTTGTTTAGATTTTTATTTGCTGCTAGGAAGGATTATTTTGTTTACTATCTTTTGTTTTCGTTATAATTTGTATTTTGATTGCACTTATTTGTAATTAGAATAATAGCTGTTGGCTCAGAAGAAACTTTTGATATTTGTATTGCTTATTTACTGCACTTAAGTGGCGAACTGTCTCGCAGTAGTTTCGATTTGAGCCATTCGCCTTGTGAAGGCATTCAGCCTCCTCGTGTGAAGACCAACTTGGGTAAAGACCTGCGACTCTACCTGCGCGACTCAACCGAGCAACAATACCGACAAAGCACATAAGTATCTCTTATTTTCCCCTTTACACACTCTCCTTTCTGCCCTCTCTTTTCCACATCTATCATGTGTTTCCAATACATTCTTGTTGTCTCTCAACACTCTAACATCAAACGCTGACGGCAACGCAATCTTGCTAACTTGCATCCAATCTGCACCACTTCTACTGCACCTCTCTCTTTTTCTGTGGGTCTCTGGAATTGCCAGTTAGCAGTCAACAAGGCAGACTTCATTCCAGCAATTGCTTCTCAGTCTACTCTTAGTATCTTGGGCTTGACTGAGACCAGGATTCGTCCGGAAGACTCAGCAACCCCTGCTGCTCTCTCTAACAACTTCTTTCTCTCACACCCCCCGTCAGGTTCGGAGGGGTGGGAGTACTGGTCTTCTCATTTCTAACAATTGGAAATACTCAACCCACTCTCCCCTATGCAATAATAACTCCTTTGAATCTCATGCTATTACGGTAGCAGCTCCTATAGAACTCCATGTTGTAGTAATTTATTGCCCTCCTGGTCAATTGGGCACCTTTATAGAGGAGCTGGATGGGCTGCTGTCCTCATTCCCTGAGGATGGCAATCCACTTGTAATCTTTGGCGACCTCAACATCCATCTGGAGAAGCCTTATGCTGCAGACTTCCATTCACTCCTTGCTTCATTTGATCTCAAACGGCTTACCACCACAAGCACTCACAAATCAGGCATCCAGCTTGACTTCATTTACACACACAATTGTATTGCAGACAACATTTTGGTAAAACCCCTACACATCTCTGACTTCTTTATAACATGTAACCTACATCCTGCTAAATGCCCCTCTACCGGTTACTTTTAAGGGAAACCTACGCTCCCTTTCACCCTCCCATCTTTCCTCTGTAGTGTCTTTCTCTCTTCCCTCACCCACCCATTTCTCATCTCTGGATGTGAATGCAGCAACTGACACTTTATGCTCCACTTTAACTTCTTGTCTAGACAATATATGTCCTCTCTCCTCCAGGCCAGCACATGCTACCCCTTCTAACCCCTGGCTGTCTGATGTTCGGTACAAACATCGGTCCAAACTCAGAGCAGCAGAGAGAAAATGGCGCAAATCGAAAGATCCGTCAGACCTGAGTATGGATCAGTCTTTGCTTTCATCTTTCTCTGCTGAAGTCCATACTGCCAAATCTTCATATTTCCACAACAAGATCAACCGCGCTTCAGACACACGTAATCTCTTCAAAACATTAAAATCTCTTCTCTGTCCCTCTCCACCACCTCTTTAACAGCTGATAATTTTGCCACATTCTTCACAGACAAAACTAAAACCATCAGCAGTCAGTTCTCAACTCCATAAACACAGGAACTCAAACCAACCATATCCACTGCTAAAACTCTCCTCTCCTCCTTCTGTCCCCTCACTGAGTCAGAAGTAACGAAACTTCTCCTCTCCAGCCACCCTACAACTTGCCATCTAGACCCAATCCCGTTACACCTTTATAAGCAATCTCTCCTATACTCTTACCAGCATTCACACATATCACCAACACATTTTCAGCAGGCTCGGGTAACCCTACTGCCCAAAAAAACCTTCACTTGCAGATCTACAGACCTGTCTCTCTTCTTCCATTCTCAACCAACCATATCCACTGCTAAAACTCTCCTCTCCTCCTTCTGTCCCCTCACTGAGTCAGAAGTAACGAAACTTCTCCTCTCCAGCCACCCTACAACCTGCCATCTAGACCCAATCCCGTTACACCTTTATAAGCAATCTCTCCTATACTCTTACCAGCATTCACACATAACACCAACACATTTTCAGCAGGCTCGGGTAACCCTACTGCCCAAAAAACCTTCACTTGCAGATCTACAGACCTGTCTCTCTTCTTCCATTCACAGTGAAAACACTTGAACGAGTTGTTTTCAACCAGGTATCATTATTTCTTTCACAGAATAACCAACTGGACGTTAACCGCTCGATCTTTCAGGTTTGAATTGCACAACATCAGAAAGGTCAGGTCCTTCCTAACAGAGCATGCTGCACAAGTTCTTGTCCAGGCCCTTGTCATTTCTAGGCTGGACTTCTGCAATGTTCTTCTGGCAGGACTTCCATCGTGCACAATCAAACCTCTTCAAATGATTCCGAATGCAGCAGCACAACTGGTCTTTAATGAGCCCAAAAGGGCCCACATCACACTTCTCTTTATCTCCCTGCACTGGCTGCCGATTGTGGCTCGCATCAAGTTCAAGATATTGATGCTTGCATATAATACAGCCACAGGCTCAGCACCCTCCTACTTCAACTCACTCTTATGAATCTACACCCCCTCCAGAAGCCTGAGATGTACAAGGGAGTGGCGCCTCGTGGTACAATCACAGAGAGGCACAAAATCACTTTCCAGAACATTTTCATTCACCGTTCCCACCCCCATACGGAATACTGAATCCCTGACAATTTTCAAGTGACAGCTTGTGTGCTTCAAGTGACTCGTCTCTTTTGTCAACATTTGACTGCTTCCTGAAAAAAAAAAAAAACTTTGCTTTCTCCTCCGTCTAGTACTTGTACTAATCTGAACAATGTCTGAAACTTTGTATTACGAGCACTTCCTGTGATGAATCGCTTGTTGTATTCCTCAATTGTAAGTCACTTTGGATAAAAGTGTTTGCTAAATGAATAAATGTAAATGTAAGTAGTAGTATGATTAGTATGAATGAATGAATGAATGAATGAATTAAATAATCTAAAGCAAAAATGTGGGCAATTAATCTGTACAATAACTAAACTGTATATACGGTATACGAAAGATCTGCTCTCTGTGTATATACACCGTGAAAATGATTTTTCAATTATATTTTAAAAGAAAACACTATTTTAGTCTCTCTTACTTCAAAATTTCATGTTTAATTCAATGTGTTACTTACTGTTTCTTTGTAATTAATTTTGAAATTTACTATAGCAATTTCTAAGAGGAAATCATTTTTAAAGCACTCAAGTGTCGAATTTCAAATGTAACCATCATTTCTGTAGTAAAATTTGTCTCATATCAATCTCTACATGTTTTATTTGTACTTTTATCATTTATTTGTCACACCACTATTTAGGTGATCTGATAAAAGCTGAAAGGTGATTAAAAATAGTGAAACACTTATCACTTAAAGTCAACAAACTACAGTGTGCTTATTTTAAGTGCTATAATTCAGTGCAGTTCTCATGTTTGTGTAGTTTCAATGTTATGTCTGTTTTGCTGGGGCCCATTTTTTATGATCTTTCCTGGGCCCCACAAACCCATGAGCCGACCCTGTTTTGAGCCCACCTTGCCATGTCTCGTGTGATTGTTGAGTGTGTGTAGCAATGTATATAACCAGCTGTGAGTCTACATGGGCCCACAACATTTGAAAAATAACCCCACTGACCACCTTTCAAGTTCTGCATAGCCAAGCAAGGCTCCCATTTTCTTCAGTGTCTCTGAAACATGCTTGATTTGTTGATTTCCGTCTCTCCAGATGACTGCGCCTCCATCCTGCTGGCTTGCCTGTACTGCCGCTTCTGTGATGTTATGGCCATGCTGCCTGACACTTGTGAGCGGGCGTTTGGCCGCTGCTTCCCCTCTTACAAGTATTACAACACCTCGGATGAGCCGTCCAAAGGAAAAGACTGCTGCAGCTGTAACGTGGATTTTGACTGTGGTTTCATGAACTCCTGTCAAGATGCCAGTGAGCTGATAGAGCTGGCGATGGAGATATCTGAGGTCTGCTACCGCTAACAGCCTCTTAGCTGTCTGGAGATCAGAGCAAATCATTCAGGATGGAGATTCTCCATCGGTGCTCGATTCCCGATTCCACATGGTGTGCGTTTCAAAACGAGACACAGTTGCTTGTTTTGAAAAAATAGGGTAAATTGTCACCTCTTCTTTTTGGCAACAAAATAAAGCATGTGACAGCATTTTCAGGACAAGATCATGTAATTTAAGGAAAGTACTGGGTGAATATATTTGCGATTCTTCTTATGGGAATTCGTTTTGCGTCCATGTGATGGGATGTGAAAACTAAACCTAAATGTGAACGTTTAACCTATCCATTGTGTAAAGCATGAAAAATGGTAGGTGTGGGTAAGATGAGCCAAAGGCCACCTATATGATACATGAAGTGAATGTAACATAGTAAAAACCTTTAAATGTCTTTCTGCCTTACAAGATATGAATTTTGACTTGCTTATGACCCTTACAAGGTTTGAATATGCTACAGAAATGAATCCTAAAACCCAGAAACAAGCTAGTATTTTGGTATGTTTGGTTCCACTGTCCTGAAGTCAGTGGGTTTTTTTAATGGGTTTTTGGTCAAATGCCTGTGATCATACAAGATATTTATGTTTTATTCTATAACATAAAATGCATTAGTAAAACACTGTGATTTTTAAAGCTTTTATTTTTCTTGAAAAAAGTGATTGCTAACAAATGGCTAAAGGGGCCTAAAGTGGTTATTGCACTCTAAAACCAGCACTGGGTTGTATTTAACCCAGCATTTTTTAGAGTGTGGGGTCATTAGATCTCATCACGCCAAGCAGGTAAACTCATCTGGTCGCTAATCTGCTTTCATAATCCTCTGTAACACGTTAGTTTACGGACCAATTCTCACTTTTAACTAGTTGCTTCTTAGCATCCCTATTATTAACATATTGGCTGGTTATTACACTCTAAAAAGTGCTGGGTTATTTCTGTAAACACATTTTTGGGTTAATTGTGCTGGGTCATAATTCTGGGTTGTTTGAGGTAATGTAAACACACAGTTGGGTTGCTCATGCTGGGTCAAATGGACTGTAAGGGGTTCTTTCACCACTGAACAGCTGGGTTGGGTTATTTTGACCCAACAGGTTTATTCATTTTTCCTCTTCATCGAACTTTCTGGATTCTTCACTCGTCTCGTCGTCAGACGGTCACGCACATCGCAAGCAGGATTATAAAGTAAGTTAATATGATGCTATGATTATTTACCTCTATTTTTAATAAGTTGAGGTAAGAGCACACTGATTTCTCTGTTTAATGCGTAAGTTATTTGATCTGTCGCTGTACGGGGTAACGTTATTCTGTGAATGATCAAGTAGCCGCCTAACCTTAGCGAGGTACTTTTTTTTTTTTTAATGGCCTCAGCAATCGCCTTGTCGTTAATTAAAGTTATATATGTGTGTGTGTGTGTGTGTGTGTGTGTGTGTGTGCTTTGTAATGTTTTGTCAGAATTAGACCATTTCGTTCTAAAATTTATCTTTTAAGGGCATACTTTTTTCAAGTAAATGTCTGCGACGTGCCGAATCCGACGATAGATCCATCATTTTTATGTTGAGCATTTTCGCGCTCTTTTTTCCTCAGGTAACGTTATACCCCTTACTTTTATAACGCTAAACCACTATATTACTGGTATGTAATATTATGTGTTACTTAAATGTAATGTTGTTTGTTTAACCCAGCAACACAGTTAACCTTACCCACTGGTTGGGTCAAATAAACAACCCAGCATTCTGGGTAAAACGGTTAAACCCAGCACTTGGGTCAAAACAACCCAGCGCGTGTTCTGTCCCATAGTTACCCAGCAGCTGGGTTAAGGTTGGGTTATTTTTTAACCCAGCACTTTTTAGAGTGTAGTATTTATAAAGCACACATTAATGCTTTATTCTACATGACCATATTCTACATCCCTAATCCTACCCAATACCTAAACTTAACAACTACCTTACCAACTATTAATAAGCTGTAAATTAGGAGTTTATTAATAGTTTAGCGATTAATAGCGAGAATTGGACCTTAAAATAAAGTGTGACCTAATCCTCCTCTTGCTAACATTTCTAACAAACACTTTACAACTTATAGACTATAAATGAAGGTCGAAAGAGTTGTCAGAAGCTTAATGGTGATGCTGAAGTTGGTGTAGTTTCATGGTGAAGTTCATTTATAGTCTAACTTGTATGTAGGCTTTAAAATTCATAAACATTTCTGCAGCTTTGAAGATGATCTGTTAACACTTTAAAATACTGTTCCTTCATGAAAGAATAACTTCAAGACATATGAGTAATATTGACATCCTAGTATCTACTATTAACTAACAACAAGCTCAAATTCACGATTTAGTAAGTAATAGCACTCACTTGAATGTGCTAGTTGACTGTTAGCTAATCAGAAGCTACTACTATTTTTTTTCATACTTCTGTTTTCTTCGTGCTTCTATAGCTGAAACCTGGCAGCCACAAATATGCCACGAAAGTAGAGTACTGAGAAAGAACATCACCCATACTCTTTTTTTTTTTATTTTTAGTTTTTCACTACAACAGAACGTGCGCCAGGAGAGCCAGCTGACCACGTCAACTGTCCTGTGTTTTTCTGCTCTAGTCACGTTTGATCTCACGAGTCTCAGTGAGATCTTGTGTTACTGTGAAATCGTTCCGACAATCAGCAAGTGTGTGTTTGCGTGGTCTGGTCGAATCATCTAGTGTGCGCGTTCAGAGGATTAAAAGGCTGAAAATCAGTTGAAACTGTCTTCATGTCTGTGGTCTCCCATGGTTTTAAAATCGGTTAAGTCCCAGGCCTAAGAAACATCAGTCACACTTTAGTTTGGGGACCAACTCTTACAGTTTTTCTTGATTGCTAACACACTATAACTGATTCATTTGGCCAAATTTCCTAAACCATTCATTCAGTTTTCCAAACAAAGATATTTCTCAAAACTTTGAACACATTTCACCTGTTTTCACACACATTCCAATTCGCTCAATGTTTTCTGCAAAACCCAAACCACGTTCTCATTCAACACAAGTATAATTAACTCGAGCATCACAATATGAACTCAGATAGCACACATTTATCCATCTATAAACATTAAGTGGCAAAACTTATGACACACCATTCAAAATCTCAGGATGATATTAAAAAAGAGCACAGGTGATTATGTGATTTAGAAAATTAATTCTACTAGTGGGAGACGGAACAGGAAGGGGAGGGGAAAAACTGAAGGGGACGGGTCAAAAGACGTTTGTTCCTGATGAAATACAAAGCACTTTAGTTGAGCGCGTTCTTGTGTATGGAATGACTGTGAGGGAAGTTGGCCTGCAGGCTCATCTACTGGGTTTTACACTACTTGCAGTTACCGTAATGACAGTAGACAGTAGCAGTACTTCAGATGAGAGAACTTTCACTATTCTATGGACAGTAAATACTATAGCTCAAGTTGTAAACCCTTAAACTCGTAACTGTTGAACTGATTTGTAGCCAAGTACTTCTGACATGTACTGTATTTTTGCAGAACTGAGAGGTGACTGTCTAAGGGGGGTAGAAGTCAGTCTTTTGTCAGAAGACTAAGAAACTGCTCTAGTATGACAAATAAGGTCATTAACAAGGTAATGCAATGTGGCAGAGGAGTTATTTATTGCTGTACAGTAACTGACAGTATATTCTATTGTGTTCACATTGGTTTTTGAACTTTTCTAGTGCTTTTCATCTGCAAGATCTCTTTATGGTGAAATAAAAGTAAACCTTTCTTAAAGCTTATTGCTGAATTTTACTATATTTGCACCCCTGTATTTATACTGCATACTATAACAGACATTGACTTGCAAAATGATTCCTGATTCCCAAAAGGAGGTGTTTTGAATTGATCTCTAGTGTTCATTAGGCAGTGAAGCAGTCACACATATTTGACAGGTTTGTGTCATTTGAGGTCAAAGTTTAGACAAGAGTTTTTTTGTTTTTTTTTTACGAAAATGTTTGATTTTGACCTGGAAATTTGAAGTTTGTTGGTGTGTAATTTTGAGACTGTGTTTATAGTTGTGAGAAAATGGTGAATTGTTTCATGTTGTGTGTTCGCAATTGAGCAAAACTGTACTATGAACTAGCTGTGAACTATGACATTTGCCTCAAACGCTGTAATTTGCTGCTTATTAATAGTTACTAAGGTAGTTGTTGAGATTAGGTATTGGGTTTGATTAAGGGATCTAAAATATGGTCATGCAGAATAAGGCATTAATTTGTGCTTTATAAATAGCCTACTAATAAACAGCCAATATGCTACTAATATGCATGCTAATAAGCAACTAGTTAATAGTGAGAATTGGTCCTCAAAATAAAGTGTTACCAAGTACAGTATGAAATTTAAGATGGCACTTTCAGGTAAAAATGAGGTTTAGTAATAAATATGGTACATATTGCGAAGGTCGCTCACAACAGTGAAAATGCTCAGTTTCTGTATTTCCATTAATTCATTATATATAGATCCATCTATTCTCCAAACCACTTGTCCTATGTAGGGTCGTAGGGATGATGGCGCCTATCCCAGTGTCCCAGAAACACTTTGGCCAGTCCAATGGCTAGTCCACACCTCCATTCATTTGGCCTGACCTGCAGAGGAAACCAGGCATTGCACCAACACCTGGAGAACATGCCAAACTTCAGACCGAAATGCGCCCCCGGCTCAGCCGGGACCCAAACCAGGGACTCAACCAATGCTGTCCACTGAGCAACCACCATGCACCCTCCATGCAGATCCTTTAATGTGCATCTATTTATAGTTTCCCTACAGTTCCACCCTCCACCATCACCTCACCTCAGCAGTGGCATTATTATATGCCTGTTATACGCTTGGCACGAGTCGGCAAGTGGCCAACCTTCACTATTTCAACTTCAATATGTCTCATGCTTCAAAAATCAGTGACGGAGACTGTGATCATGTGACTGAATTCAGATTGGTGCATGCAGACTACGTGGAGCAGACAGACTGCAGACTGTGAGCGCGTCGAGGAACGGCTGTCAGATGCCAAGATGTGAGTATACAATGATGAATTACCACTCTGAAGTCACTCTGACATCATAGATGGTGCTTCGTTACTGTTTCAGGCTGGATGTACTGTGATAAAACTCGGCTGAATGAAACATTTGACATTTTTAAACACATTTTGCATTACAGAATATAGTAAGTAGAATAAAACACATATTTAATCACTTTTGTCTTTCTTAAATCGGTTAACATTAAAGTCTTTAGTGAGTTGTTTACTTCATGTTGAAGTGCTTTTCTATTTTAAGAACTAACCTTACAGCTTGAGAGCATGAGGTCAAGTTTACA